GAGGTTCTGCACTGTGACGAGGCAGCTATCCCTCGGGTCACAGTATGCTATGTGTCAGGCTTGCAGAGAGTTCACATACCCTGGAGAACCTCTTCACGAAGTTTGCTCCTGGCCTGTCAGGTCTTGTATTCCGAACACACAGTCTGTTTAACCCTGCAATGCTCATGTGCATCAAGTTACTCTTCATTGCAGTACATAGAGTTACTCTAGCTCAGTCATATGGTGATCATAGACCATACTCAGTGCAATAGGAAACTCATACATATCTTCGATAGACTTGCTACTACGTGAAGTTACAAATTCCCGGTCTGATCATGCTTATTAGTAGACTCGCGGCTCGCCTTGCCACCGCGTTCTGCAATCACGTGCTGACCTTTGACCATTCGGTCATGACCGATGACCCGTGCCGTCAACGGTCATGACTCGGGGTCATGACGGGGTCATAACAACACTGAACAGCTCCTATCCCAATCTGGTGATCTGCAGCATGCCCTCTGAGCTCTGAGCTCTTGACTTTCCTCACCACCACCGCCCGAGCTCATCTTGCCCACTTGAACTCGCCACAACACTCGCCAGCGATCTGGGCCATTCCGGGAGACGCGTCTACGTGACGGGCAACGCTACCCCATTGTCGCAGGTGTCCGCTACCCTAGGCGTAGGTGAGCCCATCTTCACTCCCAAAGGCGATCGTGGCCATTTCGCTATACACTCGTCTGCCCTGCGACCTCCAACGAGCGTTGCTGCTCGACTGTCATGCGCGTCTGCCTTGCCTCAGTTCTTTCCCGGCTACTCTCTGGCTGAGAATGACCTTACGTTCACAGAACACTGACATTGCTCATCATGGATTCTGTCCACGCCCACGAACCGAGCACTAGCGCCTCCACCATCCGCGGCCTCAGACACCTCGACATGGCTTCCTACTTCGAGTCCCTGGCAGTACACGACGACGCGCACGGCACACACTCCCCTTTCCGACCCTCGACGCCCCATAGCGCGTTCCACTCTGAGCCTGGCAGTCCTTCCGGCGACTCCGTCTCGTCCCTTCCCTCGGTTGGATCCTCGTTCCTCTTCTCATCTGGACCGATCTCCCCGCCCCATCCAAGCCATCATTCCGAGGGTGAATATGACGAAGAGCTAGGGGACTCTACAAGCGGCCTCGTCATACCTTCGCTCATGCTACCGTCCCCTTCCCGGCAGCCGACTACCTACGGTCAGACGCTGGGAGACGTCCGGCTACTGCTGCTCGGTCCCCGAGGCGCGGACATGAGCGCGATCGCGTCGCAGCTCGTCGATGACAACGGGGACGTCGTAGAGGTCGGACTATGGGAGGAGGACCGGCAGGAAGGTGCCAACACGCACGGGAAGCGGAAGGCCATACTGCACGTCTCGACGGATTGGGTGGAACATAGGGACAGACACGGACTCGAGCGAGTTGAGCCTGCGCGGAATGTGGAGATCGTTGAGCTACCACCCTATGACAGCCATACCGAGGTGCGTCGTACGGTCTCAGGCCGCTCTCCGTCTACTGACTTCCTTCAGGCTCAGACCATCGTGGAACGCGTCCTCCCTGTGATTCACTGTCCTTTCCGCGAGGTTCTGGACCTGCTCAATCACGATCACCCACCAAGTGGTACTCTCTCCCACTTGCTCTCATCATCCTGCTCTCCGCTGTACACCGCTTTGATCATACTCGCTACACCCTGTAAGTCTGTCTTCACCCTCCATACAATGCCTTGCTCACGTCCACCCAAAAGCTGCCTTATCACCAGCCGAGAAGTCCCTCATCGAGTCCCTCAGCACCCACATCCCCATCATCATCCTCCCCCCATCGCCGCTCCACCGCAGCCCCTCATCCCACGAGCACGAGCACGAACACGGCCGCCGCGCCTCCTCTTCACACCTCTCCGCCTTCCGCCCCACTTCCCTCGCCGCCCTTCGCAACGGCCTCTTCCGCAGCCCCAGCACACTCGCAACGCTCCGCGCCGAGGCCGCCGCGCGCTTCCTCCGCTGGCGCGAGGTCGAGCGCGCCGTCGAGCGGGTGCGCTGGAGCGCGGGCGGCGCAAGGCTGTCCGCCTCACGCCAGCGCTCCGACACGACCAGGCCCGCTATCACCTCTGCTAGCGGGACGCAGGGCGACTGGTTCGACAAGCAGGCGTGGGAGGCGCAGTGCGGGGACGAGCTTTCGCGCGAGGTCGCGCTCCACCTCCGGCGGCGCCGCCCAGCGCCGCCCTCGCTCTCGCCCTCGCACTCGCCCGCTCGAAAGCCGCCTGCGAACAGCGCGGGATATGACGAGAGGGCCCTCGTATCTCCCTCGTGCGGTGCGGCGCTGGACCCGCTGCACATCCCTTCGCTCGTCGTCTTCTCGTTCTCGCTCCTGGGGGCGCTCCGGACGCGTGTCGCGCGCTCGCTCGGGTGGGCGGGCGCCGCAGACGTGCAGGGCGCCGGCACCCCGAGACGGCGGCCCTCGATCTCCAGGAAGGGAGAGAAAGAGCTGAGTCCCCGTCGTGGGGGCGTCGGGTATTCGCTCGGGCTGGGGCTTGCGCTCGTGAGTGCTTTTTGCGCCGGGGTGGGCATCGGGCTCGTCGTTGCAGCGCGGTTCTGAACCGCTTGCCTCGCATCCTGTATATGGGTATCATCTTACCCAGTTGCTTCTACGGTCTTCTCGCCCTGGTTTCCAGTTCTCCTCAGATTTTCGCTCGTTGATGCTGCTTCACACATTTGAAACGACCCTTCCATGACCAGAACTCTGTCTCCACCCACATCTGTTGTCTGTTGTCACACTAGTGCGCACGAATTGTAGTACTTGCTCCTACGCAGTTACGCACCATCCTCACGCCAATCATCATTTGTATCTATTATGCTTCCGTCCTTCCTTTAGGGTGTCCTAGGATTTGGAAGCATCCAGAAACGTATATCTGGACCGTGCCTCGAGTACAGCGTGAGGGCGGCGGGAGGCCCACTACCTAAGCTAAACATAAACGCGGCGAAGCACCGACGGCGTTTCATGTATAAAGCGAAGCCTCGGGGGGCTTGCGACGCTGACCGCCTCGACAGCCGACCGCCGCGAATCACCTTCACGCACGCCGGCGACTCGGCGGTCGGCGTACGCGCAGGACGCGCCGCCACGCCGAGTGCTGCAGGTCTCGTCTGTTCCTTCGCGAGTATGTAGGAGTGAGTCATGGACCGGTGCTGCAGGGATGCATATAAAGCCTGGCTGCGGCGCGGCGAACGAAGTCGCCCGCTCGCTCCGCCTCCCTTCGACCCTCCCGCCCCTTCAGTCTTGAACGCTCGACACCGCGCGCCCATATGCCTTCCACGAACAAGCGGGCACCCAAGGTCGTCGTCCGTCCGCTCGCGCGGGGGTCGCGCTCAGCAGGGAAGGTCGTGCTCGGCCGGCTGGACAGCCTGAACGTCTACGGCCCCGTGGTCAGTGCGCTAGCCTCCCCTCAACGCTCCCCCCGTCTTCTTGCTCATCCGTAGCCCTTGCTCACACGATGCCGTGCGCAGGAGGGGACCACGAAGTACTGGGAGGTGCCGAACCCGACGCCGTGGAAGCAGGCCAGCCGGTCGTTTCCGCGCTTCCGCAGAGGCGAGGTCTGCACGCGGCGCAACGCGGGGCGGGATGACGGGCGGACGTGGATGACGAGCCGGTATGTGTGCGGGTCTGGGCTCGATGAGGGGTGTGGGCGGGACTATGGTTGGGAACAGGGGCATGAGGAGGACGACCTAGACGGCTTGGAGGACGAGGCGCTTCCTGGTCGTGCGGAGGAAGAGGAGGAGAGGACGTACGGGAGAGTAGAGATTGCTATCATGGACATCGCAAAGCCTATGAAGCCTCGAGGTGGGTCGTGTATCTCTCTATTTGAGAGGGCGGAAGAAGGATGCTGAGTGGGAAATGCTAGGCCCGGCGAAGGACTACGAGGTCATCAACTCGGTGGGCCGGGTCATTGCGCTTGAAGACGGCCATGAGTGGGAATGCGAGGACGACTGCTGGGAAGCTATCGAGAAAATTGAGCCGGAGAGAACATCGTACGCCTCGGTCCTGCAGCGGGGAGCAGCTTGATGTCCGGGAGGGTGGATAGAGGAGTTCGATACAGTACTTGATGCGCACCTATGCCAGTGTCGCTCTAATGCTTCTGGGAGGAAGTTCAATCCTGTTTTCCCGATTGACAAGGGTAGTGCGTAGTTTCTGTGCCTGTATTCGCTGTCGAACAGGGGTGAGGGAACAGCGTTTGAGTAGACGTACAAGTAATGCGTTCTACATGATCTCGATGCCCGACGAGTCGTAGCGAGACATTCAAACTGAATGCCATGGGGTTGCTTTGTATGTCGCATACGTACGAGCGGCGCGGCCGTATCTTGTGAGCCGCACGTCTCTCCTCCCACAATCGCAACTGTCCTCGGCGTAGAGTCCCAGGAGAGTTTCAACCCTTGCCGAATTCTACGTTCAGGCCTGCAGTAGGCGCCTGCAATGCCAGAGTTTATCTTGTGCGCTCATGAGGCTGTTCTCATCTCTCCTACCAATCATCCTGTATTCGCGTAGTACAGCGAGGCCGCGGACAGCCTCAAGAGAGAACTGTAAGAACTTGGCAGAAGTCCGATACTGAAGCACCCTCAAGGGCAAATTGGTAAGTTCAATGCCAGGATTGACCACTTGTAATCACTGACTGTGCCTTGTGTTGACGTTAGGGGAGTACCCGCATGCGCTATGCGATTGCTAGATGTCGACACCGGGAGCTTCCTCTACTTCACTGAACGAGATAAGACGCCTCCTTATGCTATACTCTCACATACATGGGATTCCGCGGGAGAACAGACCTACCAGGAGGTCAAAGATATTCAGTCGTCGTATCTTTCCGACAACACTGGTCCTCTCCGGCATCTTTCCTTCCCATCCATCTCTAATGATATCAGCAAATCAGTTCACGAAGAGACAACTAGTGGCGACCTCCTGAATTCGACTCTTCCCTCAGATGTCTCACTCTCCGCTCGTCCTACTATCTGGGACGAAGCCTCTGGCCTCTCAGCGAAGATCCGTCGCGCGTGCGAGGCCGCACGCAACGAAGGCGTCCGATACATGTGGATCGATTCTGCTTGCATCGACAAAACCAGCAGCTCAGAGCTGTCGGAATCTATCAATTCTATGTACATCTGGTATCGTGACGCCGTCGTCTGCTACGCGTTTCTAGCGGACGTACCTGTCGATGAGGACCCTCAATCTCCGCGCTCGCGCTTTCGCCAAAGCAGGTGGTTCAGGCGTGGATGGACACTTCAAGAGCTCATCGCTCCCCGCAACGTGGTATTCTTCTCGATGGAGTGGATAGTGTTTGGTACCAAGTCTAGCTTGGCAACGGTCGTGGAGGAGATCACGGGCATCGAGCGATCTGTCTTAACGCACAGGAAGACACTGGACGATGTCGGCGTCGCGCGACGGATGTCATGGGCGGCGAGGCGTGAAACGACTAGGGTCGAGGATCGCGCGTACTCGCTCTTCGGGATATTTGGGATCAACCTCCCCACACTCTACGGTGAGGGCGAACAGGCCTTTCGGAGGCTACAAGAGGAGATTCTACGACGTATCCCGGATCAGAGTCTGTTCGCATGGGGGGATATTTCCCTAGCTCCTCTGCCGATCCATCTCGAAGCCCGCGACGCGCCTCATCTGAGGCCAGGTACCTTCCAGTTCGAGTGCAATGACTACTCCAGACAGTCTCGCACTCTCTTCGCGCCTTCTCCTGACTTCTTTCAAGGAGCTGGGAAGATCAACCCAATTACCCGGGACGCCTTTCTCCGCCTCCTCGGTATCAAGAATCCGTCCATCCTCCCAGTGCAGGAGTACAGTCCTTCACCTTACGGTATCAGGACGCACTTGCCTCTCCTACCTATCTCCACTACTGTCCCATCGAGTTCGATCAGCCCCAAACAGCCACTCAACGCGGACAAGTTCTGGTGCTTCGCCATCCTTGCTTGTGAGCACTCAGAGCGAGCGGGACATCTTCTCTGCCGCGTCTGCTTCATACCTCCTACGCGATCCGATCTCGAGTTCCTGAGGACCGGCTACTTGCGCGTGTCGGTTCCGGGTCCGTACCACACCGATCGTCCTGATCTATTCACTATAGCTCCGAGCGAGATCGAGCACTGCCGCGCAGACCTGGCCATTAGGACAATTTATCTCCCTCACGAAGAGCGTACGACACCGTCTGGGCAACTTGAGCTGACGGCTTCGCGCAAAGTCATCAAGGTCATCTTCCCCGGATGGGCTGCAGTTGACCTACGAGCGCAGGGGTACGAGGTCGTGACCTCTCCTGTAAATGCTTCTTCGACCCATCAGCAGATCGTCCTGAACCACGCCGGAGGCCACACGATCAAGCTGGAGTACCAGTGCAAAGTGTCCTATGGCGGATGGGGTTTTGAGTTTGTGGCTCGTGCCGAGATGTCGTCCTGCGTTCTTGACACGGGCGAACCTGGAGATTTTGAAGAGCTTACAGATGGACCTCGCACCGTTACCTTCCGGGACTCCGGGGAAACATGCGTCCGGCTCCTCCAGGACGAGCTCAAGCTTTCGGCCCGCAACAGCGACGAGCTGACGCTACGCCTCTTCCTGGAACTGGCGGCGGAGTCGTGTTATTATCTTCGTATCGAAGTCGCATGCGACGCTTCGGGTCTTGTACCGCCCAAGCATGGTGCGGAGGGTAGCATAGCGGGTTTGAATGCATCACCCGGCCCGCATAGGGACGAAACAGGTGGTATGCTCGAGTTCGCAGAAGGAGATCTTGACTGGTTGAATGACGAGGACACGACCCCTCCACTGCCGGAGGTCACCATGGAATACCATGACGATGTACTCCAAGATTTCCTCCTATGATCTTATGAGAGCGTCTGCGTTTCTATGGTGCAGTTCACTTAAACGCCTCCACTTTTGTACGCAATTAAGCGCGCGCTTATGTGTCACGTGACTTGGCAGCATGCTCGAATCGGTTGTTGTTACTTACCAGGCTACACAGATGGAAGTGCAAGCCCAAGGAACCTCCATAGAGCCGTTATCCCATGACACAATAGTGTCTAAACCCTCCCATACATGGCCCAAGTTCAAGGATGCTGATCTGTACAGGCAATGGTATGGTATTATATAAGCATAAAATTACTCTTTGGGGATATAGACGCCCAGATCACGTGCCGTGGCAGAACTGGTACGGCCATTTTTGCCAGTTCTCACCCTATCGAGAATCCCCTTTGGGGATCGCTTCCTCTGTTCAATTCCTTGAAATTCACACAAAATTGACCGAAATCATGAATATCTGGAGGACTTATGACACGGCGCCTAACAGCGTACAAAAGTGGAGGCGTTTAAGTGAACTGCACCATAGCGTACTGCAGCCAGTCATTAGGTGGTTTTTGTGGGGTGGCAGGTAGCCTGTGGCCACGCGAATAAGTGCGTCTGCAGGATCCAGGCGGACGTCGCCGACGATGTATAGGGTAACAACAGCATCCTCTGTTTCACTTCAAATCCCTATATGATAGATGCCCTTAGTAATTACCGTCGAATCAGCACAAACAAGAGAAAATCAGAGTCTCAGCCTGTCAGTCGGCTCTCGTGATAGTTTGAATCAACGTCTCAAGCTTTTGGCTCAGTGCTTCCGCCGCCTTCGTCAGCTCCGGGTCCAAGCCTAGTCCAGACGCCTTCGGAACAGCGATAACAGAAGCGGGGTCATCGTAGGCCACCCTCGTCCCGCTGCCATCAAGTCTCTCCACGATCACGATCTTCAGTGGAACGTGTAGCGCAACGTTGAGGTCGTACTTGAGCATTGTCTGCGCAATGAGCGGGTTGCCGAAGATGTACGCATACGTCTGCGGAGTGTCTGCGGTGCCGTGATAGGCGTTAAGCCAGTTATGATACGCCATGCCTGCGAAGTACCTATCTATGTGCGTCAATACTCGGTGGCGTCGATCAATGACCACAACAATGGTCGAACGTACACGAAATTCCGGTCGCCGACGAGATTGTCCATACCGCTTTCAAGCTCGGCGCGTGTCTTCGCGGTGGAGAGGAGCCGGGTGACTTCGGGCCCGCCTCCCGCCTTGTTGACTTCCTTGTCGAGACGTGCGATGACTTCCGCGATAGGAAGTGGGGTATCGTAGGTGATACGGCGGCTGGTGAACTCCATCACGGACTTCGACATGACGATATCTGTGATTGTTGCGTGAGGTGAGTGATTTCGTACGGCTATAGAAACTGTGCACTCGCCAATCTCAGGATGAGGACAGCGGATTGAGCTGGGCCTTCTTCTAAATCGTCGCAGGGTTCATATAGTGTGAACTGCTTCGGTGATGACTGTGTGAACTCGGGTAGTTAATCAGCCCGCATCGGTAGTAAGATTGGACGCGATACACATACCTAGAGACGAACTCAGGCTGGCAATGGCAGAAGCACTATGGGAGGAAACCCGTGAAGCCGCGAAGAAGTTGGGGCCGGATCACTGACGAATCGGCAGCCCAGTGCAGGGTGATGCGAAGAAGCAAGGCGTATGAGTTCCCCGGGCGCCGCTTACAAAGAGGCGATTGCATTCTTCGTCCGCACGTCATACTGTATCGATTCATAATTTGCCCTATGACCGGCAACAATTAAGTCCGTACTACCAGGAATTGTTCTGGTATCTCCGGATTCTCATATGAGGATAGGGTAACCTCTGTCTGTATCGACCCATGCTCGGCCGCTTTGGAGGTTCGCTCTACCTGTATGTCACAAGATGCTGTAAGTATAGATGAATTATCCGCCAGGACCGATACACTCGTACCTGGAACACGCGAGTGTTAAAACCAAACTGACGTACAGTCGGCCGACATTGACGGACGATCGAGAGTATTTGAGAGTACGAGTGCTTCGGGACGTCTTCAGAGCCGAAGTCCAGGGGCCGGTTGACGTGAACTGCCCGAAGCTTTGGGGCCTCTGCGAGGCACGGCCCGAGAGCATCCTGCGACAGACACTGAGCGCACACACGAAGATAAGTGAAAGGGCTGCGTACGAGGTCGTTCTGCTCTACAACGATAAAGAGCTGTTCCAAAACGATGCATCGTCGGCAGATGTCTGCAATGGCACCGATACTCATCCGCATGCGGTGTACCGAGAACCGCGTAAGACGGTGACCGTGTGCGCTGACGACAGCTGAACAGAAGTCGTCACTGAGACGATGTCCGACGTGTCCACCAACAGTCGAAATATGGAAGTATTGTATTGGGGTGTTCGAGAGGAGGCTGAGGACTTCTTGCTGCCATTCCACGAGAGACGTGTGCTCATCGACGGTGAGGGTAATCGAGCGGAGGCGCGAGAGCGTTCCTGCACGGTTGCATCGGTCGCTGAAGACGCCCATGTCCTAGGATAATTCAATTCTGATCATCATCGACACTTTGCAGCAAGGTACACCTACAAATGCGGTAGAAAGACCTTCCATCCCGAGACCAACGATGCCCTTGTAGTTCGTAGACAGTAAGGCCCATAGTCCGTCATGGGTGACCTTGGGACAGCCGACAAGATAGACATGCTCTAGGTTTGTAGTATGGGGAGCTATCTCGTGCAGAACACCGTCGTTGAAACGGGTAGAAGACTGCCAGATATAGCGTGAACAAGGCGTCGCAAGTGCAGTCAGAGTGTCAGCTCGCCTTGCAGATCACGCCGAGGTGATTGAGGGTTTGGCTTGTATTCCGAGTCCAAGGTGACAGAATGCCAATCACAGCAGCGCTAGGCATGATCAGGGCGAGCTTGCGGAGATGGGAGAAACGCGGTAGGATTCCTGGGTCATAGAAACCAGAATTCTCCCCATTTATCTCCAATTCCTGCAGTCGAGCGCAGTCTACCAAAGTCTCTAGGACGGGAGACGTAAGAGATCCATGCCGGGTCCATGTGCAAGCTCTGAGGTTGATGCAATTGCGAATACCCGCCAAGCAGTGTTCCAGAATGAGATCATGGTCTTCAGATTGGAGTGCCTTGGGGAAATCGCGGATGACTGTTGCAGAATCGGCATGAGTTCGCAGTCCATGTTCAGAAGAATCTTCTTCGAAGGCAATGTGCTGATGTTGCTTTGCGCACACACCTAGCTGTTGCACTAGCTTTGCAAGATGCGGGTAGTCTGCCAACGTTCTGAATAGCTTGATGACCTAAGGTGAGTAACAATTATGTCAATTCCTATTCATGTACGTTGTGCCTAGACGTACCTTGGATTTCCCCTCCTTGTGCCAAGCATAGATGAATACACGTTCGTAAAGGAGAGTAATGGTGAACTTGTAGAACGAGTGATTGACCAGGCACAGAGCTGCAAGATGGCTAGGCCGTACGATATGATGCACGATGCTGGGCAGCAATTCAATAGGAAGATCTAAGAACTGTGCTGGGCTGCTCATGAAGCTCTCCGCGTGGTCAGGTTATCGCCCGCAGTGGCCGAAGGTAGATTCGAGGTCAAGGAAGAAACGGAAAGATGACATTGATTCGCATCGGCCGCCCTCGTCCCGGCGGTCCGGTCCTGAGGAATACGACTCCGCTCAATACTCCGACATGCGGAGTCCCGTTCCTCCCTCTAGCGCCAACTGTGGCACCGGCGTCGAGGTGAGAGTGCAAGTAATAAGACCGCTACAACCTCTCTCCCTTCTACCACTACTTTCTTCTTCCACCTCTATTGGCCTGTCATGTCCGACGTGGAGGACGACACGATGTTGAACAGTGGCGACGTCCTTGAAGACAACGAGCAGCACCAGGAAACCAGGCCACCGAAAAGTCGAAGACGCGACTATGATGAGGAAGAAGAGGAAGAAGATGAAGAAGATGAGGAGGAGGAAGAAGAGGACGATGAGGATGAGGGCACCAAGCGTGGTTCAAAGCGGGCCAAGGTATGTGGTCTTACCGTAGCACCGACGGTAATGTGTTAAGCCTCGAACAGCATCGGCACAAACGCCCTGCAGTCAATCGTTTCCTCGATGTGGAGGCCGAAGTTGATGAAGATGAGGACGAGGATGAAGACGAGGATGAATATGTTCGCGGTATGTTCTGCATTTTTTACGACACGCGCACGCTAAGTCATGATATAGACGAGTTCATCGCGGATGCCGGTATTGAGGGCGAGGAGGATTATGACGCTGTTCGTCGAACCGCTGACCATGCGCGTTATGACCGCCGTGTCCGGGAGATGGACGACCGTGACCTGGAGCAGGTGGCTGAAGACATCAGCCAACGATACAGGCGGACAGCCGTACGGTATACCGGAGAGATGAGCGACGTCCCGCAACGGCTGCTGATGCCGTCAGTGCATGATGCGAATTTGTGGCAAGTGCGAGTCAGGGTAAGCGTTTCACATTTGTGATGAAGGAACTTGTGCTGACTGATTCCTCTGGCTTCGCCCAGCCCGGCAAAGAACGCGATATCGTCTTTAGCCTCATGCGGAAAGCTCTTGACTTGTCCTTCAGCAACCACCCCTTGCAGATATTGTCCGCGTTCCAGCGAGATTCATTACCAGGAATGATCTACGTCGAGGCACGAAGCGCGAAGCAGGTCAGTGAGGCTATCAACGGTCTCGTCGGCATCTTCCCTAGTCGCGGCATCGTCCTCGTCCCTATCGAAGAAATGGCTAGCCTCTTGCAAATCAAGCAACAAGAGCTAACTGTCACGCCTGGAAGCTGGGTGCGCATCAAACGCGGCAAGTACCAAGGCGACCTCGCGCAGGTTATGGACATCACAGAGAACGGAGAAGAAGTCGGACTGAAATTCATCCCACGCATCGATCTAAACCCCAAGGACGACTCTGCACTCGATGGCAAGAAGCGGAAAAAGGCTGGTGCTGGCCTGTCTTCCTTCAGCATGCGTCCGCCACAACGATTTTTCAACTATGAGGAGGTGGTCAAGGTCTACGGGCGCAAGTCGGTCGCGAAGCGTAACCAGGTCTACGTATTTCAGAACGACACCTACAAGGATGGCTTTCTCGAGAAGGACTTCCGCCTCACTGCGCTCCAGCTGGACGATGTCAATCCCACACTCGACGAGATCACACGCTTTACGCGAGGTCAAGACGGCACCGAGAACGAGGCGAACGTCGACTTGTCTATCATAGCAGAAGCCTCTCGCAAAGCGGCTATCTCAGTATTGCAGCCCGGTGATCACGTCGAGGTCTTTGAGGGTGAGCAATCTGGCGTCCACGGGACTGTACACAGCATCGAACAGGATGTCGTCACAATCGAGCCCGAGGGCGTCGACTTCGACGGTCAACGAGTGCAGATTCCTGCTCGTAGCGTCCGGAAGCGGTTCAAGCCGGGAGACCATGTGAAGGTAATGACGGGCAAGAACGCAGATGAGACGGGTCTGGTCGTTTCAGTTCTGGACAACGTCGTTACCTTCCTTTCAGACATGACAATGCAAGAAGTAAGTCTGAATACATTGTGTCGCAGTGGATATGTCGTCCCGAAACTCACGATCTATTCGCAGGTCTCAGTTTTCTCGAAGGATCTTCGTGAAGCAGCCGAGGTCGGCACAGGAACGAACATCGTTGGCAACTACGAGTTGCACGATCTCGTTCAAATAGAGTACGTCTCTCGCGCGATGCGCTCCATTTGCCCTTATCTCATCTCGCCCAGTCAGCAGACCGTTGGGGTCATCTTCAAGACCGAGCGCGATTCGTTCCGTGTCCTGGACCAGAACGGGCAAGTGCGTCTCGTCCAACCACACCAGATCACTATGCGTCGCGACTCGAATCGTGCCATCGCCATGGACTCGGAAGGACACGAGTTACGTGCCGGCGACAACGTCAAGGAGGTCGATGGCGAAGTACGCTCCCATAAGTCATCGCGCTGCCGCCCCTACTAATGCATCTCATAGCAACGGAAAGGTCGAGTTTTGCATACACATCAGTCGTTCTTTGCCTTCCTACATAACCGCGACATCGCCGAGAATGGTGGCGTTTTCGTCACTCGTGCGCGATCGCTCGCGTCACTTGCACCAAAAGGCAACGTCATGAAGCTGGGTGGTACGGACCTTTCGAAGATGAACCCGGCTCTGAGTGGCGGCGCTGGAGGTATGGTCGGCTCCGGTATGATGGGCCGGGGGCCTAGAGACCGCCTTATCGGGGTATCGGTTACCGTCATCAAGGGCCCCAATAAGGGATACGTTGGTACTGTCAAGGATACCAATGGCCCCCATGCTCGTGTTGAGCTTCTCACTGGCAACAAAGTCATCACCATCGACAAGGAGAAGCTGCGGCGCCGGAAGTAAGACGAGATCCGCTTGTAGTTGGCGTGACAGAGTCTGACACGCATTTTCAGTCCTGACGGCTCACTGGAAGCTCTCGAAAGGCCCATGGCCAATATGGCCCCGCCACGTGCCCCTGGATTTGGTGGCGGCCAAACCCCAAACCCGTACAATCAAGGCGGCGCTGCTGGTGGACGAACACCGGGTTGGGGTGCCAATGGGCGCACCCCGAATCCGTACAACGACAGTCGTACCCCTGCATGGTCTGCAAACTCTCGTACACCGAATCCATATGCGGAGCATGGGAAGACGCCAGCATGGGACGCAACAGCACGGACGCCGAATCCGTACAACCAGGGTGCTGGTGGCAAGACTCCTGCTTGGAACACTTCCTCGCGCACTCCCAATCCATACGCAAATGGAGCCAACAATGGCGCAGCGTCTGTTTGGGGTGGCGCCACTCCCGGACGGCCCGGAGGGGGGTTCGACAGTTGGGTAAGTGCTGGGGAGTCGTCCTGACCTACAACCAAATAGTTGACACTTATCTTAGGATCCGCGGGCTGCGCCGACGCCGTATGCTGCAGCGTTTACGCCGGGAGCACCTACCCCGGCACCCTACGCGTCCATCCAAACTCCTGGTGTGTACGAGTATCAAACTCCGGCACAGACCGGCAGCTACCCTCAGACACCCGGAGTCATGGGCGGTGGCAGCTATGGAATGACAGAGTCGCCGTTCGGTAAGCTCCCGTGATATGCAATCTGGCAGCGTACTGATGACCGCGCAGACATCTCGCCCAAGTGGTTGTTGGATCCGGAGCTCGCCGACAAGGTCAGAGGAATTATGGTTGAAGTACGTGGCACCTTCGGCAGCGCCGGTTGGCATAATGGCGACCACGAAGGCAAGCAAGGCATCGTCCTTTCGATCCTCGACACGCAGAACGAGTCCTTCACGTCGACTGCGCGCGTGCGATTCCTGGAACCCGTCAACCCCTTACAACCCATCCTCACTGTCCCAGTGGAGTACCTCTGGCCGGTGCACCCCGAGTCCCGGGGCGAAGACGTTCTCATCTTGGCTGGTCTACAAGGCAAAGGCCAAGAAGCGAGGGTAGAGGCGATCGAGTCACGGGACTTGATGGTCCTCACCACTAAGGCCACGTTCCTTGTCATCGACAGCCCTCCGAACAGGCTAGTGCGCATCAAGCAGGTCGACGAGGTAGGGAACTTCACCCGATGATGACGTCTCGCACGTTTGGTTATCCTTGTCCCTTCGCTGTTCACGGTGTGGATGTTGCACGTCGTATAGTAACTTACATTTTGCTGTGTTGTATGAGTCACACACCATGTATCATATGCCGAACTCTATGCTCATTGCATGGCATCTATGAGCCACTATCTTGGTCTGTCATCTTGCAGCGTACGGACGGATGATGAGGTATGTTGGTCCACACGCGTTTTATCTGCTCATTCAGTGACCTGTTGTTCCAGAGAGACAGATGAGGACGGTCGCAGTCGATTTGAGAGTCCGAGCGTCGCTCTCACGGTCAACGAGGCCCGCATGTGGAGGTCAGCAACGCACTGTAACCCCTCTCCCGCCGTCCTTCTGTTACCGCGATGAAGCCGCGGAGGGGCGAGTTGAAACGGATTGCGGCGCCGTAAAACAAGCTCCCTAGGCAGTTGTCACCCTGTTCAAAACATGCAACGTCCAAAAAAAAGCGTGAAGGTCAGTCATATGCATCACAACGTGTTCAGCTAGAAGCCTTCTTGTCGCGCGCGGAAGCACTCTATATACTGCAGTGTGGTTAGCTATTCTCACGATAGACAGTCTGCCCTGTCGTTGTGAGACACGGGCTCGTCTAACGTATGTGGTTCAGGTTGGAGTCAGAATTCCAAGTGGGAAGCCCTGTATGCCCGGGCTACTTCCAAATTCATCTCCCCCATAACAGTATGAAGAACAATAGGGGTAGTCAAAGATGGCGGTTCGGAGGACGGTTCGTCGAGCGATTCTGCAGCGATTCTGTCAAAGGGAATCGTCCTGGATTCGTGTGGGCACTTTGACCACCCCACGTTTCTACGGGTCGATTCCAGGGCACAGCGTTGTTACGGGTCAAGTCAACGGTCATGACTTTTAGACGACGGATGACCGGTCACTGTGTGACCCGGTCATGACCGCCGGTCAAAAGTTAGCACGTGAGATCTCCGGCATGTCCGAGTGTGCGTCTGACGGCAGGCCATGGCTCTCGAATAGGCCAAACACATCGTGGCCGCGAGGAGGTACAATAAGGGCTGATGAGACTATTGCATACTCATCCCTGTCCTTGAATTTAAATGACCTACTACCCCATAATACGCCATATCTGAGCTGCGAACCGACAAAGAGCTTGCCGACGGATAGATAAAAAATCAACTCATAGGGAACGGAACTCGACTTGGATATGAAGGCCGACGAGAGAACTAGCTGTATATGACAAACGAGCTGCAGTTTCTAGCCAGCAAGAGGAGTCGGAGTCGGAGGAACAGTTGCCCAGCGGCCTACTGTTGGTTGCCACCGTGACAGCTGATCGTTCAGTACTTCGTTAGTCATGG